CATCTCCTCTCCTCAAATCTTCCAAATCAAACCCTAACCAAGCCGATCTCTCTCCACTGATCTAGTTTCAGTCTCTCTCTATACCTCTCTCAATCTCCATCGATGAAGCCGAAGCTGGTTTCAATCACCGTTTTCCAGCAGAGTAGTGCGAGTTCTGTCTCGATTTCGAGAAATGCAAGCTCTAGTTGATCCATCACGCCCCTCATCTCTACCTCGATCTTCTCAACGGTCTTCATCTCATTCCTCTAATCGATTTCTATCTAATGCAATTTCATATTCAATTTTTGCTTTATTTATTTTTTATATTTGGGTATGTTTCAGAGGCAAATGCAAAGGAAGCTGATCAAGTCTCCGATCAATTCCAATCCACTTCAATCTCCGACGTAACTGCCTCTTCTGGTAATTCAATTTTTGGGTTTTAGGTCGATAGGTTTTGATGAATGAGGAAGATTTTTTGAATTTGAAAACCATTTATTTAAAATTGTTGATTTAAGAAAATTCACAAATTCACAAAAATTCACAAATTTTTGGTTGAATTTCTGTTTATTTGAAAAAATTGTTGTGAATTGCTGTCCATCTCCTCAAAAAAGGAGAGATTTAGTGAATTGCTTGAATGTTCTGTTTTTGTTTGAGTTTTTCTACAAACGGATGAGAAAAGGAGGAAGGGAAGGAAGAAAATCAGTTTGTTTGGGGTGAGCTGACAGATTTGCCATTTGCCAAAGTTGTTGTTGTTGGAAATGGTTAATTTTTCCTAAGTTAGGTCTATTTTTTAGGTTCGATTCTGGCCTCTTCGTCGTCGACGACATAGGCAATTGGTCAATCGACCTCAAATCTGGTGTGATAGCACTCTTTCTCTCTCACCGAAGTTTGTATAAATCCTGCTATTGTTCGCCGCCATGACGGCGTTAATGGCGTCTTTTGCCAGTAAAGAGAATTCTTTTGTGGTTACAATACTCAAATCCTTGGGATATGCTCCGTTTCTTAATGGGTGTCCCCACTCCATATTATATATACATGTAGAGAAAATTCTGAATTGATTACCATGGCAAAAGAAGGGCTTGGTACTGTGAAACTATTACAAAATTGAATGATTTTTGTTCAACCCAAGATTTGATATGTATCAGAGATCAGAGACCATTCCTAACTCAGAATGCACTTAATGAGTTTGGTTCCAAGTACTCTGGAGTTGATTGGAGAGGGAGAAAGAGAGATTGATTGTCTTTTTCAATTAATTTTATTTTATTTTATTTTTTTATAAATTTGTTAATAGATCTAAGAATAAAATTTGACTCTGGTTCGTCAATTTAGTATGTATTTTATTTTTTGTAACAGTAAAATTTGACTCTAGTTAAAAACACGTTGATTTGCTTAACGATATAAAATTTTACTTTGAATTGTAGTAAAGTTTACTCTGATAGGAAATTCAGAGTTAAATTGTAATTTCAGAGTAAAATTTTACTCTAAATCAAAGTAAAGTTTACTCTGAATCAAAGTAAAATTGTAATTTCAGAGCAAAATTTTATTCTAAATCAAAGAAAAGTTTACTTTGAATCAGAGTAAAATTTTACTCTGAAATACACTGTGAGGGAGCAAAAAGTAAAATTTTACTCTGAATACACTGTAAAGATGACTTAACAGAAAATCTGATAGATATGAGGGTAGTATAGTAAAAGAAACAAGTTTTAAAATATTAGGAGATATTGAAAGTATCTATATAATTCTTGTTCTTTTGAAAGACAAATTAAATAGTGAGGGGTCTATCATCAAATCTCTCTTTCAAAAATAGTAAACTGTAACCCTACTAAAAGCATCTCCAATGGTTGTTGCTATTTTACTATTGCTATTGCTATAATTTGGCAATGAATAGTGTTATTTTGCAAAATTATAGCAATGGTGCTCCAACGGTCATTTGCTATTTTTGGCAAATCTCAACCAACTTTCCCTCCAAGTTTGTAGGTGTTGTTTGGATATAAGTTTTTTGTGATTTTATTTTTATTTATTTTTTTTGTCTTTTATGACATTTTTTTACCTGTTTGTTAAAAAAATTATATATTTATATTATTCCCGACTAGACAAATATAAAAAATAAAAAATTTTGAAAAATTGGAAAAAGAAATAAATAAATATATTTTATCTTTTTATTGCCTTCATTTGAAAAAATATATTTATTTTCTCATTATACTTTATTGAAAAAATTAAATTATACTAATCTTTTTTGCTACATCATACATTGCAAAAATAATATTACATTCTCTTGTAGAAAATACTCAAAAATAAAAACAAATATGAAATTTCATTACAAAATAAAAATATGAGGACCATTTGGCGAAAATTTCATTACATTATCCCGTAATTATTCATCAAGAGGCAGGAGGAAATAGTAATTTGGGCTACTAACATTTGAAGACCACTTGGTGAAAATCTCATTTTTTCGCATTGTGTAATACGCTTTCGTCTGAGGGTCCAAATGAGAAATGTCCGTAGGTATTATCATATGTTCTTCTTTTTTCATCTCATGTTCTTATCTTTTGATCTTAAAGTCATGTTTTTTCATCTCAAGTTCTTTCATCTCTTGCAGTGCTTGAATCATTTTTTCTTCTCTTTCATCTTTTTTCTTTTCCTTCTCAGCAATGTATTGGTTAAATGTGTCCAATTGTGTGCTCATTTTTTGAACTTCAGCTTGAGCGACTTGATTTTCCGAAATAATTCTTTTGCAGATTTCCTATCCATAGGCCTTTTACCTTTTACAGAGACATTGCCCTCACCAACAGTTAGATTGTTACCAACACTTAGACTGGTGTCATCTTCAAGAGAAATGCAGTTATCCATTGGAGAATCGGGCCTAAATTAGGGGAAAACGGTGTATGTATTCTTGACTTCACCGTGTTCGTAGGAGTTACATCTTGCCACCTGATATTGTTTTGCAAGATTGGCCAACAATGTTTAAAAAGAAAATGTTTGTTTTCATCTTGATGGTATAACAGTTTTGCTTGAAGCATCTATATCAATAAAATATTAAATTAATTAATTAGTTAATTTTTATGTAAGACAAAATAAAAAAAAAAACTAACATAATAAATGGAAATGAAATCTTACTATATCAACTTGTGGCGCCCCGCTTGAATGTAGATTTTCGACTTGCGCTATACACCCACGAAATTTGTTGCAACATTTCATGATTACACCCCATCAAGATGAGATAGACACTTGTGTTCTTAAGTGATCATTCTGCAATGAACAATAATTTTCAAAAATTCTTCCCCAAAAATGAGCAGGAGATTGTGAATTCCCAACAATTGGGTCTTCAGTAATGTGACACCAAGCTCTACAAATTGCCACATCTTCTTGAGTGGTGAATGATTTTCCTCTCTTTATTTTTGATGAACCTTTCATAGTGATTGTGTGAAAAAACAAAGAAGAAAATAATTTGTGAAGTTTGGTATGAAATAAAATTCAGATAAAGAGGAGAGAAAAGAAAAATGAAATTTAAAATGTTTGGTGTGAAATGAAATTGAGATTAAGAATTTTTATTTATAGAAATACAAAATATGACCGTTTGTAAAAAATGCCCGTTAATTTATAGCTGTTGTTTGAAAGAGGAAGAAAAAGAGCCGTTGCACAAACCCATGTTCATTCCTTTCACAAAATAGCACCGTTGGATTATATAATCCAACAACTCATCCATCTATCTATCTAGAACAATCCGTGCATTCCAATATCTATCTAGAACACCAAGCGCTCTCTCTCTCTCTCTCTATCTCTCTGCTCTCTCTTCATTGCCCTCACCGATCTTCATCTCTCTCTCATCTTTTCTCATCACCTCTCCTCAAATCTTCCAAATCAAACCCTAACCAAGCCGATCTCTCTCCACTGATCTAGTTTCAGTCTCTCTCTATACCTCTCTCAGTCTCCATCGATGAAGCCGAAGCTGGTTTCAATCACCGTTTTCCAGCAGAGTAGTGCGAGTTCGGTCTCGATTTTGAGAAATGCAAGCTCTGGTTGATCCATCACGCCCCTCATCTCTACCTCGATCTTCTCAACGGTCTTCATTTCATTCCTCTAATCGATTTCTATCTAATGCAATTTCATATTCAATTTTTGATTTATTTATTTTTTATATTTGGGTATGTTTCAGAGGCAAATGCAAAGGAAGCTGATCAAGTCTCCGATCAATTCCAATCCACTTCAATCTCCGACGTAACTGCCTCTTCTGGTAATTCAATTTTTGGGTTTTAGGTCGATAGGTTTTGATGAATGAGGAAGATTTTTTGAATTTGAAAACCATTTATTTAAAATTGTTGATTTAAGAAAATTCACAAAAATTCACAAATTTTTGGTTGAATTTCTGTTTATTTGAAAAAATTGTTGTGAATTGCTGTCCATCTCCTCAAAAAAGGAGAGATTTAGTGAATTGCTTGAATGTTCTGTTTTTGTTTGAGTTTTTCTACAAACGGATGAGAAAAGGAGGGAGGGAAGGAAGAAAATTAGTTGGTTTGGGATGAGCTGACAGATTTGCCATTTGCCAAAGTTGTTGTCGAACTTGGCAACTAGTTTGGCATTTGTCATTTTTAACAGCGGCTATATCTCACCATTGGAGAACCCTTTCTCATCAAAGCTGCTATATTATAGCTTTAGCAGCTCCAATGGCAAACCATTGGAGATGCTCTGAAAGAACCAATCAAAAAGGTTAATGACCAAAATGGGACTCTCTTAAGTAATCCATTTCCACCTAAAAAGAAAATCGATGGCTCACCAACTTTGACCATGGAATTCATGAAAATGATAGAATCTAACATGTTCGAAACAATAAATTAATGTTAGGAATACAAAATTAATCACAATGATCAACATAAATGGAATGAATGGCTAAGATTAAATCCAGTAATGATGGAATTTACATTCAAAACAAATTTAACTGTCAATGCACTTTCTGTAATCCATTATTATATGTTTCTTATCTGTATTATTAGCATTAGTAAAACCACCCATTGGTCCTCGTTTGGGTGATTAAATGAGTTGATGATTCAGTATTCCAGCCTAAACAAGTCAACAACCCTCCCAAGCTTCTAATGAACTCATTAGCTGCAGAGCAAGGTACCTGCAGAGCAAGAGAAAATTCACATCTTTTGATTAAGCACCTGGTTTAGAAGGCCTTTTTCTTGGCACTAAAATGAAAGCTAAGAGCCTGTTCGGAGACTGCCCGACTAGGTGATTTTAACTCTTTTTTGTTGAATTGATTCAGGCACCACACCACGCTACGCCACGCCTCGTAGAGGATTCTTGTAAGCCCTTCAAGAAAAAGCTGCTACTTTTTTGTTAAGCAACTTCATTAATTTCAGAAGCTATCTCATGGAGTCTGCTCAAGAACTGGAACTTCAAAACACTGGTTAGTCACTAACAAATTATGCCTAGTCTTGAGGGTCTTTTTGGGCAAAATGAAACCTCTAACTGTTTGGTAGTGATTTTGTTTTCTGTTTTAATTTTCCAAGAAAATGCAGGCGACTTGTTTGGCAAAATGTTTTCGAAAACTGCTTTTAGAAACAACCCACTAACCAGGAAAACAACCCAAATAGTTGTTTTCAGATTTTTGAAAACTGTTTTCGCACAAGCTGTTTTCTAACATGCCCAATTTATGAGCTGTATTCATTGTTTTACTTTCTGAATCTATGAAGTTTTGATATGTGTTTTCTGCTTGGATGTTTGTGATTTTCACCAGTTGGAGACAGAGAACCAAACCCACATACAGATTCATCTGCAACCATTCAATTAATAGTTCCTGGATCCAAACACTTCCGGTGGTGGCTTCGAGTGTCGCTCTACATCTTCTTCCTCCTTGCCGGCCAATCAGCAGCCGTACTTTTGGGGAGATTATACTTTGACAAAGGTGGAAACAGCAAATGGATGGCAACATTTGTTCAATCAGCTGGCTTCCCAGTCGTAATCCCCTTCTTGTTTTTCTTCACACCACCACCACCCAATTCCACCGCCACTTCCTCCCATAAACCGCCACCAATCTCCACCCTCGCCCTCCTCTACCTCTGCTTTGGCCTACTATTGGCCGGTGACAACTTAATGTACTCTTATGGACTCCTATACCTCCCTGTCTCCACCTATTCGCTCCTATGCGCAACCCAATTGGGCTTCAATGCAGTCTTCTCATTTTTTCTGAATTCCCAAAAGTTCACCGCTCTAATTCTCAACTCCTTATTCCTCCTCACCATCTCGGCATCGCTTCTTGCAATCCACGCAGGCTCTGATAACACGACAAATGTCTCCAAATTGAAGTACACAATAGGCTTCCTATGCACCCTCGGTGCATCTGTCACATACTCTTTGTACCTCTCCCTAATCCAACTCTATTTCCAACGGGTAATCAAGAATGAAACATTTAGCGCAATCTTGAATATGCAAATCTACCCATCATTTGTCGCGACTTGTGTTTGCATTGTGGGGCTTTTTGCCAGTGGAGAGTGGAGGACTTTGAATGGGGAGATGAAGGTATATCAAAAGGGAAAGGTGTCTTATGTGATGACTCTGGTTTGGATCGCGGTAACGTGGCAAATCGCTTCAATAGGCATGCTTGGGCTGGTTTTTGAGGTGTCTTCTCTCTTCTCCAATGTCATTGGTACTTTGGGTTTGCCTGCTGTTCCGATTCTTGCTGTTGTGTTTTTCGGCGACAAGATGGATGGTGTGAAGGTGATATCCTTGTTGTTGGCTCTCTGGGGCTTTTTGTCATACGTCTATCAGCATTATTTGGATGACTCTAAATGTAAAGCAACGATAACCCGTGTTGATGTCAATTCTGGAGCTCGGATAGAGCTATGTTGATGGGCATTTTTCAACCACAAAAAACATGACATAGATTCATTCATCGGACCACTTCCATGGCAAATATAAAGAGCAGCTGTAGGAGCTAATTTCATGTTGTTTTATCAGTGTCATTGCTGATCATTGTGTTTCCTAAGTCTCAACTTGAAGTAGTAGTTTGAGGTGATGTTGTTTTGTTCCCTTTTGTCAGGTTTTTTCAAGACAATTCTGCTGATTGATCCTACTTATACAAAGTTTTTGTTAACATTACAGCTTACATCATATCCACTATAACAAATCAAAGTGGTAGTGATCGGAATTTTTTTTTTTTCCCAAAAAATATAAATTTTGTTGCAATTATTTTTTAGGAACTAATTATTGTGGTTGCAGGAATTGTCATTAAAAGATTAAAAAAAAAAAAGACTTTTAGCAATAATTTTTTTTAAATATCTCCGATAAATACACTTATATAGACAAAATAATTTGACTCAAAAATGTTTATTTTTCGAGACAATAAAAAAAAAATAGTCCAAAAAGTAGTAATTTATTACTAAATGCCTAACTTTGTTGCTAAACATATAATAATGACACTCTTGAGAACAAAAAATGGTAGTGCTACATGTATCAATTAATGTACACACTAGTGTTATGCTATTATTATTGACCTCACTTATTATATAAATTAACAAAGGAAAATGCTAGAGGTCCCAAATTTTCTACCAAATAAATGACCAAATGTCTCACATGGGTGTGGGGCCCACAAAATTGCGGACCCCACACCCATGTGAGACATTTGGTCATTTGTTTGGTAGAAAATTTGGTGTCCCTAGCATTACCCAATTACAAATATCCAAAACCTCTAAAATTATGTCACATCATTTATTAGTATACTAGTTAGTATATTAATTGATATATATATCATTATTCAAACAAAAGTATTTTGCCTCTAAAAAATAATTTTATCTCTAGAATTTTAATTTGTTGTAGGTCTTACTCGAACCTTTTATTTGAGTTCGATGATGTTAGTTATAGTCAAGAGGCTCACTCTAAGCAAGGAGAAGAAGATAGGGATGATCTCCCATCTATATTTTATCCCTCTGTATATATTTCTTCATTTTTCTTTTATGGGTTTCAATTCGGATCCACGTAAATGATTCGAGTTGTCTATCTCATAGGATTTGCAATATGGTCATCAATGCAAAAAATTAGCTCTATCGAACAACTATAAATAAAGGAACAAATCGTATTTTATTTTATAAAATGAATGGTTTAGATTTTATTATATTTATCGTTAATTTTATAAAATAAAATGCGATTTACTTTTATATTTATAATTGCATGATAAAATTATTATTTTTTGCATGGATGACTTTTATTGTGAAGCCTATGAGATAGATGATTCGAATCATCGACAAGAGTTTGGATTAAAACTTATAAAAATAATATATATAAAAAAAAATATAAGAAGATGAGTAATGAAGGGGAGTGTATTCTAAGAAAATAACAACTCCGGAGGTAATTGAGTCAAATGAGTGCATGATTTTTATTCCTTCCCCTCCAACAGAGAGGGGGAAAAAAATTGCTAATAAAGAAGAGACTGAGTGGAAAGTGGTAACTAACTCAAGCAGTCTCTTTCTCAGATTTTGATGAGAAATCAAAAGAGAAAGGTTAGAGATGTCAAATGTTTTATCAAATGTTTTACTAAATATTTTATATAGGTGTAGGATTCGCATAAGACTCACATGATATGCGTCTCACACTCATATGAGATATTTGATAGAATATTTAATAAAATATTTGAAATTTCTATCATTACTCAAAGCAAAAACTTGACCCTAGGTACCTCAAGAGATCTGGCCCATTAAAATCAAAATAGAATGAACACCTAGAACTAAGGGGAATGGAATTTCACTTGATTATCAAATTAATTTACGGTATGATTGGATACATGGAACTGTAGTTAGAATTAAAGAGGTTAAGTAATAGAATAATGAATGGAATTATATACGTACATCAAATTATTGTATTATGGTGGAGTAAAAGATGAGATAAATATTTTTTTTACGGTTGAATGAATTGACAAAATTATTTGGATAAGCCCATTAGAATGGTATTAGTTATCTTCGATATTAAGACATATAAAATATTATTTTGAAATGATAGTCTAACAATCAAACAACGCGTAAGTGCAAAACAGAGGTTGTAACAGAAAATAAGTAGGATTGGGTGGAAGTCATTATAGGAGTAGTGTTGCTCATTAGGTTTTATTTGATGATTTGAGATTAGTTTAGACCACTCAATTATGTGGATAAATGGTGTGTTGATGAAATGATGTGAAACACATATGGAATCCACTTAGCACATACAAATCATCTATTATTGCAGTTGGCAGATATGTAAGAAAGGTCATGCTACAATATTAATTATGCATACTATATGACACGGGTAAGTCCATAAAGGATATAGCCCACCGTTTAGGGTCCAACACATAATTTAAATACTAAAACCCAACGTTGCTGGAGCTCAATATGGCATTAAGAACCAATAACATCTAAACACGTGGCAAGAGAAGGACAAGTTATATAAGCAGACAAAGATCCTGCAAAGTTATTGCACTACACATCAGCCATTAATGAAATCCCTTACAGCATTTATTGCGATAACCCCTCCCGTCGAGACAGAATGGCCTCACCATGAACAAGGCAAGCTAGAGCATAGACTTTCGGCCAAGATGACAGGTCGGAAGGAACAACGAAATGATTACCAAAGGATATAAGCAGACGTTAAAGACAAGAAGAAGGTTAAGCTCTCTATCTCTAATCTATCTCTATATTCCATCTCTCTTTCTAACTTGCTCGTCGGAGGGTTCGTTGGGGGACTCCCCGTTCCCCGTTGAACTCTTGTGCAGGTTCCTCTGTGGGCTTGGTACCTCGGGCACTAGTTTAGGAAGCGTGGATCAGTTTGACCTATTCCATCCGGAACACGCTGTATTAACAGTTGACGCCGTCTGTGGGAACCTTTTTGCTCCGCGCGCTAGTTGTGCTCATTGTCGCCGGAGACCCTTTCCCAATAACCCTTTCCCAATAACCCTTTCCTACCACCTGCGAAGGTGGATGGTTACAACTAGATCCATGGTTTCTCACCACAATGTTGCCGACCACCAAGCCGACCCTCCCAATCCAAACAACCCACCGCAGTATTTTATCGAGCTCACCAACAGCATTAACCGCCTAGCCGAGCAAAACCAAGCCCTAATTAATGCTCTACCCCAAAGAAACCTTCCTATGCCTTCTCTACCACCTCCAGATATCCCACCCAACCAAGAATGAGCCTCGAGCCATACTATCCAGCAGCCTCATCCACCCAACTTGGAAGGCTTGCGACCCCCTCCCCCAGATATGAACCCTCCACCTCGGATCCCACACCCATCGGCCCCGACACCCACCCCCGAGGGAGAGGCCAGTAGCGTCTAGCCTCCGCTCCAGGCCGGCGGTGACAACGTCCCTTTTTGGGACGCAGAATTCCGAGCCATGAAGCTCCAGCTCCAAGGAGTCATGCAGAACATACTGAATAAACCATCCACCATAGCCAACTCACCATTCGTTGCCTCCATCCGGGACAAACCTCTACCTCCTAAGTTTAAAATGCCCACGATCGACTCTTTTGACAGTACAACGGACCTAGTCGATCACTTGGAGACCTACAGAACCCTCATGATCCTCCATGCATTCCCTGATGAAATCATGTGTCGGGCTTTCCCCATAACACTCAAGGGGTCGACTCGACTCTGGTTTAGTCAACTGCCAGCAGACTCTGTTTCCACTTTCCAGCACCTCAGTGACTCCTTTCTCAGCCATTTCATTGGAGCCTAGCGCCAGTAGTGTCCAGCAACCCAACTCCTCAACATCCGTCATACCGAGGGGGAGTCGCTGCGCAACTTCGTCACTCGCTTCAACACCGAAGCCCTGCAGGTAGCGGAAAACGATGACAAGGTCATCCTCACGGCGTTCATGGCTAGCCTACGATCATCTGATTTTCTTTTCTCCCTCTCCAAAAAGCCCCCGACCTCCATGGCAACCCTACTTTCCAAAGCCCAAAAATACATGAACGTCGAAGATTCCCTAGCCGCCCAACAAGATCCTACAGCCAAAAATCCGACCCCTAGAGAGAAGAGAAATGACTCAGAAACCAGAAACACCCAGTATAATCACCAAACACCTCAGTATACTGACCGACCACCCCAAGCCGACTGGTCGGCGCCAACTCGACCGCCCGACAGGTTCAAACGATACACACCCTTCAACTCCCCCATGGAACAAGTCTTGAACCAGATTCAACGAGATTATCCCTTAAAATGGCCCTAACCGTCATGGTCTCCTTCCAACCGGTGAGACCAGTCCAAATACTGCCGCTTTCATTAGGACCACGGCCATAACACGGAGGAGTGTATTAACCTCAAAGACCAGGTCGAGGGCCTGATACGTCAGGGACGTCTCAGTCGGTTCACGGAAGCCCGCCCTCAGCAGAGGCAAATGATTGAACCTATTAGAAACAACCGCCAGCGCACCCCTCTCCGACAACCCGCACAACCTAATCAAGGTCATGATCGCTCTCCCTAGCAACCCCAGGCACAAGGTAACCCCGCCCCCCCTGTTGGAGAGATCAGAGTTATTATTGGCGGGCTTGCTTGTGGAGGACCATCCCGTTTGGCTCAGCGGGCAGAACTCAGAAAAATAAGGCAGGGCTCGGACAAAGAAGTTGCCACATTAGACCGACCCTCCAAACAGCCCAAGCAGTGGACGGAGCCTATCACTTTTACGGAGGCCGACTGCACAGGCATCCGTTACCCCCATGACGACCCTCTCGTCATCTCTGCCCTCCTCTCTAATTACAAAGTCAGACAGGTTCTCATCGACAACGGCAGTTCTTCAGACATCATCTTTCTAAATGCCTTCCGCCAACTCAAGATCGGGGAAGAAAATCTGTCCCCTCTTCAAACCCCATTGGTCAGTTTTACTGGAAATCGAGTGACCTCCATTGGCTCCATCGACCTTCCCATCACAATCGGGGAATACCCACGGTAGACTATAAAGTTGCTCACATTCCTCGTCGTCGACTGTCCCTCTGCTTACAACATCATCCTCGGTCGCACCGCCCTAAATGCTTTCCAAGCTATCACATCCACTTTCCATCTTGCCGTCAAATTCCCCACCGACCTTGGGGTCGACACGGTGAGGGGAGAGC